TTTAATGGTCTGAAGCCGGGAGTTTTATTTGTCATAGCCTCATTTGGAAGTGGAACCAGCACCAACAAACCGAACTATGAAGGCCTTTTTAAAAGACAGAAGAACAAGGGACACGCTTGCTTCTCTGTTCGTGCGCTCTTAAAGCGACTTAAAGAAAACGTTTTTCTCAAGTTTTATATTCGACCAACACGTTCTTCCGTGCTAAAATACATAACCAAATAACACAACAAATTCAGTTTCTTTTGTCTTTTATCTATTTTTCCGGATAAAAATAGACAAAATTCATAATATTTATCTTGGGTCATTAATTTTTCAGTCAAATCTTGCCCGCTTTATTGCCCGCTTTATTTAGCACATGTAATGACATTATCATTTATTTATTCATTATTAATTTGTAATTATAGGGAATTAATGATTATTACCACATTCAGGTTTTGCTAGGACTCTTATCTGAATGTCCCAAGTCCACCTGATTAAACCATTCCAAATTTGTTAGTTTGCACTTCAAATCAAGGGTCGTCCAGCGAGACGGTGATTCTTAGTATCTTTTAACAAATTTAATATGTGTTTCCTGGCCACGGTCAACACAATTATGATTATTTGTAAGCTCTTAACAGAGGTAATTATTATAAGTAAGCTACAAGCTAAGTAGCAAGCAAGGATCTTTTTGGCATAGTTTTAACCTTGAAATTATATGAGCCAAGACACTTCTTCTTTATAAATGAAACATGAATTTTATTGGCTAATCTAGATTACATAAAAACCTAACTAAAACATACACACACATACACACAAAGATTCAAGGAAAGGAGTCAACGGAGTTGCATTAAGTTTCGCGAGTGGTTTTAAATTCAGCCTAGGAGAACACCAAGCAGCGATTGTCTTATCTTTACTGCTTTCACCAGCTCAACAGATTAGAGAGTTGTTCGTTTACTTGCGTTCTGCTTAGTTGAGTGCTGAAAGCAGAGGTGATTCCGTTGCTGACGCGGGCTTCCTGGAGGTCTGTATCAGATAGTGGCTGCGGGGTTTGGCCACGCCCTGTGTGGTTCCTTTATCATGTGCGTCACATGCTCTCGTGGAGAAATGTCTTTGAAAATGTTTGATAATTTTCTATAAGGTGTCGTACAACACACAATATTTAAAATAAAACATTTTCATCCATACCAAGGTTACTTAAATATCATGACCATTCTTACAAGCCTAAACTTCACGTATCTTGCATACACAGTAATCGTAATTAACTAAAAAGAAAAGTTATAAAGCAACGATTAAGATATCATGGTTTCAATAACACATCACACATATTTAAGACATAAAACATATTATTTGTGAATATAGTTGCTCCGAGACTTTCAATGATTTTCAATGATTGTCTGTGTACCCTCTGTTTCTTTGTCTGTGACAAAAGGAAGTAAGGGTTTTGGTCATGCGGTATAAATCCCGTGTTTGCGGGCCTGAGGGCATCAGTTAATTTACTCATCCTTTTCCGGCTGGATATACTAATTCTATGCATCCACGATCACGAGGCATCCATATGTCGTGAAAAGGCTTTTCAGCTCTGGTACAAAAGGTCTCTGTGGTATCTCTTGATTAGATTAATTCAAAGCCTCATGATGGTGATCCAGTGGCATCTCCGTGTCCTGTATATGAAATCCCTACAGGAAATATGACAGAACTATTCTGCCATACGTCCAACTCGTTTAACTTTGGCCATGTTTAGCATGGGAATCCAACTCTTTAACTGTGTAAATAAGTCAGAATGCATGAAATAGCATTAGACGTCCCCTTTAACAGCAACAAGTCGTACAAACTGTGAAACCTCAGTGCCGTTGAACTCTTGCCGCTTGTCCAATCAAATTCGATTATCAGAACTAACAATTCTATAATGCTGCTTAAACAGTTTCTAACACAATTAATCTCTTTCTCTTTCAGCTGAAGCAGGGATATTCTAAGTCTGTGATGGAAATTAATACTCCTCACATCGACCAGGTGCCCATCATCGATGTCATGTTGAATGACTTTGGGGAATCCAGTCAAAGGTTTGGCTTTGAGATAGGCCCTGTCTGCTTTCTCGGTTAAAGGACACCCCCTCTATACCATTATGGCAAGGGTCAAGGAGTGTGGCCAGCCAAGAGACCCCCTGCCCACCCCCTCCTTGTGCCACAAACACACACACACCAGCAGCAGCCGCACTGTGTAATCGGAAATGGAATATCCATCGCCCTGGTGGGATCCCAGTCGCACGACTGAAACCTGCAATTGGAATAAAAACAGAGAGAGTACATGAACTACCTGGTGGACAATGGCGCACTTTTAGGAGAGGAAGGAGGGACACATTCCTTTAACATCTCACCACTCTAAAGCCTGTAAGATTATTTTCCCATTTCCAAACTCGTTTTTTCTCCACTTGAAGTTTTAAGGCTTGTTTTTTTTTGTCCCATTCCAAGCTTAATCCCAGCACCAATTACTCCCGATCCCAGTCCTTCCCCAAGCCCCAATCCAATTAATTCCCAATCCCGTTCCTGCTCGTTTTTCCTGTATCCTTTACAGATCCTCCTCCAGGTGCTGCTCAGAGCAAGGCAACCACAGTGGTGTTTTTTTTTTTTTTTTTTTTTGGTAAAACTGTAATTATTATTTTGTACAATACTGTTCTTTCACGATTGCCTTTAAATCTTGCATGTGCATCAAAATTGATTTGATAACTATCAAGCATCTTTTCTCTAGATGTGTTTTTTTAAATTTTGTTTTCGTGTTTGAAAACCAACAGTGCAACAGATTTCTTCACAAGATGTCAATCAGTCAAGTGTCCCTGCCAACTATAAAATAAAACAAGCATTTCAAACCATCCAGATTTGTAATTATAAAGTATCCATTTTGTAAATATTGACCAATTTAAGCACATGAAGTTTCCTTTTTTTGTCCAGTAATATATGGGCATGTCTGACATGGTGAAGGATTAATGATCTTCCACTAGCTTTCTTTTGTTCTCAAGAGGTAGCAATGATGCTGTGGTAATCTGTGACTCTACAATGCTATAGAAACTTGATGAAAAGTAACTTGATGTCAGATCGAATTTCTTGACAGTATACCTCAATCTCTTAAAAGACGTATCCAATTCAAAGATGTTCAACCCTGTACATACAGAGCCTTGGTTTGAAAATCAAGTTTATATATTTGAGGCAGGGAATTTTAAAATAAAAAAGACTATTTGTTAAACTTTTGTTTGGTTATTTTGTGATTGCTATAATTAAACCTTTAGAATCTAAAACAGAAACAACTGTTTTGAGGTGCTTTTCATCAGACAGTATTGTATTAAAAATTGATAATTGTTTACTGTTTGTATGAATCACATCTTGTGTGATTCCTTCAGTCATGCATTTTTCTTGTGATGTATGTGCAAAAGCTTGTTGCATTCTTCATTTCTCTTCATATTTAAAGTTTTTGTGCTAAAATGTGTTCAGGTTGTGTGGTTCTGTAATGCTTAAGCTTTGTTTTGATTGCTTTATTTTTCTTATGCTTCCATTGTTTTTACAGTTCTGTCTGTGTCCCTGAAAACCCTTCAAATATATGACAATAGACTTACACGTCTGTGTAACATACTTATAATTTATGTAAAACTTGGAATAAATGATCAATTACATTTCAAGTAGATAATCTACTCCTTTTCAGTTTTGCCCAAACTAACAAAGATTTATCATTTCAGTTCAAAACCACTCACTCAATCAAACCATTTAAGCCATAATGTCATTGGATGTAAAGTATGTTTGGTTTTTGAAGCATGTCTTGTTGATCTTCTACTAAATCTTTTAGTTTTAAGCTCACAGAATGATGCTGAAATCTAGAATAGAGATTTGTAGTTTCTTTAATAGCTGATGTTGCCATGGTGCTATAGGTGAACAGCTCATGCAGAAGTGATTATTCAGCTGCTGGAGCAGAAACTCGCTATGGTAATTCACCTGATGAGCAACACAGGGCTATGAGCACCTGCATGTGAAGTGCCTTGGATGTTAACAGTCATGCATTTAGTGACCCTGAACTAATGGAGGCAGGTTTTTTTTTTGTTTTAGGTAGGAAAGTATTTTCTTACTAGTCATAGAGGTTTTTTTTGTTGTTCTTTTTTTAGAAAGAGGACATTATTACAAAGGGCCACAGAAATCCAAAAAGTTTTAAGTAGTATATTTTTAATGAAAACTATATTTCAAGGGCTGTGAGTGAAGAGAAAGTCTGTTTTGGTGTATCTCTCAGAAAGTACAATAAATTAGTAAAGTTCTTATTTTATTATTCTCCCTGGCTCCCTATATTTATAACCAAAATGGTCATGTGAAAACATAAGCATGTTGTAGTGGTGAAGCATGTAGTTTCTGTACCACTAGCATTACTAAACAGAATTGCAAAAACCTTGTCTCCCTTTGGTCAGACAAACCGATAGTCCCGCCCCCAAGTTACGTAATTGGTTGATCCCATGTTGCTGTTTTGTGATCTTGAACAAACCGAGCAAAGTTAGGATAGCGCCACACATATTCACAGTGTTTACACTTGTTGAGGGAGTTGACCCACAAATAAAATTTTTGAACATCAACAAAATCACACACTTTACTATTTTATTAGGAAATTTAGAATATGAATGTGACAAACCTGGAAATATCAGGGAATTTTAAAATCATGGTTTTCAGGCATTTAAACGTAAATGTTACATGACTTTTGTACCCAAATTAAATTTAAACATTTTGATAAAGTTTCTCCCCAGTGATATCCATAAAAAAATATTTTTTAAAACACTTATTCAGTATTGACGAATGACTGAAAATCGTCATTGTTGGGAACTCTGGATACAACTACATGTGTTCCTGAAGAGGGGTCAGTGCTTTCATGATAATATTCATCAATCAGATGTCAGTACAGTAGCCTGTGCACAGCTGCTCTGAATTTAAACTGTACTTCTAATTGGAATAACAGTAATTTAATTACAGATAATTGCATCAGCTTTTAGTTTTTCTCTTTTGCTTTTCTGCCATTTGATGGATGTTTTATGGTTTAATTGAATTTGAACAGCTTGAGGTCATCCTTAAAAAAAACAAATAAAAAAAAAACACTGATGTGCAAAGAGTGATATGATTCTACAGTGCTACCTGTGTAACCCAGCATATTAATGATGACCAAATTTAAAAGCAAACTAACTACAAAACAAACTCTTGTGAAATAAGTAAAGGAGCAAAGAAGAGTGGAAGAGTGAGACTGTATATTTAGTCTGCTAAAAGTGAGTGTTAAAGAGTATGCTAACATTTAGATAATGCTAACAGATGCTCAACTAGCGACATTAAAATGAACAACATTGCAGTGGAGTATTGCACTGATGTTCTACTGAATGGGAAACATGCATTACGGAAGCTGACAAAGTTGATGAACGAAGACTGAAATTGCTGATCAGATTAAGTCTACGTAAGTTATACTGTATTTACCTGTCATGTAAATTCATGTACCATGTTAAGACTGCAGAATTGTCTTAAAGAATGTTCATCAATATTTGTATTACTATTCTCAGAAATAGAGTACTGTGGCTTGGAAATTATCAAAATCAGTAATATCATTTATTAACCCTTAAATGCATACCTCGGGTCTTTAGCGACCCGGGACATCATTCTCTACCCTCTCCCTCCTTCATTTTTTTAAGTTAGAAATTGTAATACAGTTTATAGTTCGGAAGAAGGACGAAGAAGTCAGGGGTGGCGGGTAAACCTCTTTATTTCCCCCAAAACAAAATAGAACACAAAATAAAGTGCTGCTCGGCTCTCTACCTCCACAGTCTTGCATACGGTCACAAACACACACACACTGCTCCGACTCTCTCTCTCGGATCCCTCTCTCCCGGGTCTGCGGGCGCTTATCTCTCGTCTCTCCCCCAATCACTGGAATTACAAACAGGTGTTAATCATTATTCACTTGACGACCTTATCACCGCTCGTCTCCAAACCCTTTCTCCTGCTGCAGCCTTTCGCCTTCCCACGCCCCCCTCGCCACATACCCCCACCGCCCGACTCAGGCCGGGGCACCATCCGTCCTGCAACCCCTCCCCCCCCCATTTCTAGAGAGGAAGTCGGCCACAGCCATCTGGGCCCCCGGCCTGTGGACCACCTTGAACTTATAAGGCTGTAAAGCTAGATACCAGCGGGCGTTGGTATCCTTCATACGGCACTGGAGGGGCGCGTGGTCCGAACAGAGAGTGAATTCCCGTCCCAGGAGGTAATACCTGAGGGTGAGGATGGCCCACCGAATGGCCAAACACTTTTTTTCAATGGTGCTGTATCTGGTCTCTCTCTTTGAGAGCTTTCGACTCAGATACAGCACCGGCCGCTCCTCTCCTTCGACCACCTGGGACAGGACTGCACCCAGCCCCCCGTCCGAAGCGTCTGTCTGCAACAAGAAAGGGAGATCAAAGTTAGGAGAGTGTAAGAGCAGCCCGCCGCACAGGGCAGCCTTTACCTTGGTTAGGGCCTGTTGGTACAGCTCCGTCCACTGGACCGGACCAGGTGCTTCCTTTTTAGTGAGATCAGTCAGTGGGCTGGTAAGCACCGAATAATTAGGAAAAAACCTTCTATAGAATCCCGCCAGCCCCAGGAACTGTCTCACCTTCTTTTTGGTCTTGGGACCTGGGCAAGCCGCAATCGCAGCCGTCTTGTCAATTTGGGCCCATGACCCAAGTGGAAGCCCAGATACCGTATGTGGCGAGGGGGGCGTGGTTCAGCGAGGTCTGCACCGAGAGAGCAAGGCAGGAGGACGAGCGGCGCGTAAGTAGGTCAAGCGCAAATGATAATCACCTGTGTCTCGTTTCAGTAATTGGTGTGGAGAGACCGGATAAAAGGGGCCACCTGGAGCATGGAAGGGAGAGAGAGACTAACTGGGAACGCGAGCCACCCGGGAAGCCGGGCTACTGGAGCACAAAGCATATATAGAGCTATATTCTGAGTTATTGACGGAGAGTTTGAATGCGCAGTGAGCACCTTGTTCTGTTGTATATACCGAGAGACTTGAATAAAAGCTTGCATCCCAGTATGCCGACCCTGTCTTCTTCCTTCCGCCCTCTTGAACCATATCACACCGTACCTCCACACGCCCAATTGCACACTTCCGCGGGTTCGCCATGAGTCCAGCCACCCTGGGGGATCTCAGGAACGAGTGCAGATCTTCCATATGCCGCTGCCAATCCTTACTGTGTATAATGATGTCATCGAGACAGGCAGCGGCGTACACGCTATGTGGCCGGAGGATCTTGTCCATGAGACGCTGAAAGGTGGCGGGAGCCCCGAACAAGCCGAACGGAAGAGTAACAAATTGGTGTAACCCGAACGGCGTGGTGAAGGCTGTTTTTTTCCTTGGATAAGGGCGACAAGGGGATCTGCCAGTACCCTTTTGTTAAATCCAGTGTCGAATAAAAGCGAGCCGAACCTAACCGATCAAGCAGCTCGTCAACTCGGGGCATTGGATAAGTGTCGAATTTCGACACTGCATTCACCTTTCTGTAATCGACACAGAAACGGACGGAGCCGTCCGTTTTAGGCACTAAAACTATCGGGCTTGCCCAGTCGCTATGCGATTCTTCTATTACTCCCAACCCTAGCATGGCCGTTAACTCATCCTGTACCACTTTTTTCTTGTGCTCCAGTAAACGATAGGGCTGGCTGCGTGCCACTTCCCCAGGGATCGTTTCGATGTGGTGCTGTATGAGGTTCGTGCGACCGGGCAGGGGTGAAAACACATCCGCAAAATCTGCTTGCAACTTGGCTAACTCAATGAGCTGCAGCGGCGAGAGGTGATCTCCCCTGGGGACCAGCACGAGCGGATTGGTTT